ACGTAGCTCTAGCTAGGGCTTATTAGCTAAAGGAAGATCCAAATGACTCACGGCCATATTCCGCGAGGAACGCCACTAAAGCTCCTAGAAATTGGAAAGATCTCTTCATTGCCATGTACACAATCACATTTGCACTTCGTATGTGAAGTACAAACAACAAAGTTTTTGCTCCTTGGTAGTTTGTTCACAAGTTTTGTTTTGTGATACAAGATTGTTCTCGATCATCCCTCCAGGGGATGATTCGACGATCAGTGGCGAGCTCTTTTGCTCGGCGGCCCGGCTTGTTGATGCTGAAGCGCCAGTTGCCTTGTGAAGTAGTTCACCTCCTTAGCCAGTTGCCTCCTGTTCTCTTCCTTCTCTTGCTGGAGCGCCATGGCCACCATCCGCGTGATCCGGTCGGCATGGGGAGGATCCAACGCCATCTCGTCCTCCATGTAATGGCAGTCCGGCCTGAGCGCCCTCTTGTTGTTGGTCTCGGCCCAGTGATCATAGTCCGCAAAGTTGAAACTATCGTATTGTTTCACCCGGATGCTCCTATTGTTACCAGCCTCGATCGCCAAGTCGTTGATCATGCGCTTTAGCTGAACATACCGCTCAACGTCCACTGCCACCATCTCCGGTCTGCTCTCCTTCTTTACAAAAAAAAATGGACATACTACTTTTTCGCCAAATATTCTTTCTTAAGATTAAAAAAAGGTTTTCAGCAACTTAACCGGTTTACTGAAATATTTTTAGATTTGTGCTGAGCCAGAAATTCGTGGATTCAACCAGAGTTTCGAAGCGATTGGAAGCGGATTTTCACTCGCTTTGTCCCTGGATTTTTCCCATCTTTCACTGAGCTTGTTGATGGCATCAACTCTCTGCTTCCAGGATTTAATCTCCTCGTCATCCGTCAAGCATCATGCGTCCAATCTCGTCCTCTCAGTCCAAGTCGTCCAGCAAGAGTTTCTTCCACCATCTGGGACGCTTTGCATGTATAGCCCCTGGTAATTAATCGGCTGGTGAAAGCTCCCACAAAAATTTGCCTCGCATTCCTCAAAATCGGGGAGAAGTTGACGAGATTGAGCACTCCGCAAGAAAGGAGAATTTCTTCGGTCGGAGCTGGATAGCTTTGGGATTTGGGAAGGTTAGGAACACAACAGGGCCATTCTTGGATTTGTTCCAAGAGCCTCTTAAGTGTCACAAGGAAAACAAGTTCAAGAGGGAATTTGCAAGGTCTCCAAGATCGACAGTAAGCTGGTTTTCTTCCTCAAATTATTTTTTCAGTGTTATGTTCTAGGTGAAGTTCGCTGCATGCCTCATTTTGCAAACTTCGTCGTGCATCATTATGGATTCTCAATTGACCAAATGAGTGATTCCTCCACTGGAGGATGAAGAGAAGCGTTTGATGTTCGAGGTCAGGATTGGAATCGCTCCTCCTATTTTTGATGAGAAACTAATGTAGCATCCTCACAACAAAGCGCAAGTGTTTTGGTTTCCAGGCATTGCTTCTTTGTTCTTCGCCCAAGTTGTTTTCCAGGCTAGAATTGGTCAAGGAAGTCAGAGTAGAGAATCGAAGCAACTTTACAAGTGGCTAGTCTTATTTGGTGGCAGCAGTAGTGTTGATGCTGCTGATCATACCCAATCCAGTCCAAGTAAGAAAATGGATTTGCTGCTTGTGTTTTAACTTCTAACTTCGAACAGGTGGAGCTTATGAGTTACTTATGTTTTTGTCTCTTCGGCAATCTTCTAAACATTGGAAAGGTCTTCTTTTTCATTCTTTATCAAACATTTTTCTTAGGTACATACCTTCTTGTATATTTTTTGTTTCTCTTCTCAAATGAAAAGTGATGTTTCTATTTAAAGTATCTAAATTTGGTAACATTATATTTAAATATCATCCCATGATCATATTGTAAGCTCCTAAGTTTGGGCTTCCTGGGAGGTCACCCAGCCCAGTACTATTCAAACCCAAGGACGCTTAACCCCAAAAGACCCTTAACAGATTGGAAAAGGGGGTGCACTCTTATTCATGGGCCCTTTCCCTCTATATTTGAACCCCATGGACCGTCTCTCAAGTCGTTCTCTTTGGTTGCTTACAATCTACCACGCTTCCCTGCAAATTCACGCCCTCGTGAACGGAAGCTGAGAGCCGCAGCTCTCCCGAGAGCCCCGCTCTCTTTACACCCTACCCCTCGGGTCGAGCCCAGCGGGAGCAAACTGGACCAGCCAGATGTCAATCAACATGTGGTGTGATTCCCCTAGCCAACCAACAGAGTCGGACCCGAAACCCTCTCTGATACCAAATGTAAGCTCCTAAGTTTGGACTTCCTGGGAGGTCACCCAGCCCAGTACTATTCAAACCCAAGGACGCTTAACCCCAAATATCCCAAGACCCTTAACCGATTGGAAAAGGGGGTGCACTCTTATTCATGGGCCCTTTCCCTCTATATTTGAACCCCATGGACCGTCTCTCAAGTCGTTCTCTTTGGTTGCTTACACATATATCTCAAGCATAAAAGAGCTAGAAGAGGATATATTTATGATTGTAGATGGTTCATGTTCTCAATATGCCTAGGCACTAGAGGAGTATGGAAGCCCAATCCAAAAGCTTTAGAGCATAGAAGAATTTATAACACTACTATATGGAGCATTTACGAGTGGCTATGAATTAGCATCCTTGCTGCTAGAAAGGCTTGGGAGCTGCCATGTGGGCACATTGACAAGGTTAAAAAAACAGGGCCTAACCATGCTCTGCCATGTGGAATGGACTTTGGACCATCCTAGATGGTACAAGATGGGGAAGAGTCAAGTATGAATGAGGTGGTATCTTTCTTTGCTTCCTCTTTCATTGCAAACAGGATGTTGAATTGATGGCTGATTGATGGGAGATTCTTAATATACACCTCATCCTCAATAACTACTAGATCAAAAAGATTTGAGCTTGTTCTGCTGTCTCTAGGGATTGTTAGACTCCCATTTCGTGATCGTCCACATCCTAGTTAGCATCAGTGCATCTAAAATACTAGACAAAGGTTGTGGCAAGTTCCGTGGGGTTCTCCTTAAGCAGTTGACAAGTCACTACCATACTAAAGTCATCACTGTATTGTTGTGGCAAAGGTGGTGAGGTAGATTTACTTGGTTTTCTAATACTTAAGAGTCTTAGAGTCTGTGTCTGAAAGGTAGAGAAGCCAAGTGCAGCCCATGGTCTAGTCCACATGAAAGAAATCGACAATATTACACTCACCACCTTGATTTCTTGGAGCAACTAACATCTTTGATAAGAGAACTATGGAGGTGACCACCACTTGAGATGAAGATTGAAGCTAGGGATCAGCTATATGCATTGAGTCGTTTTGTGAATGTTGTTGATGTCAACTCACCCTTGTGTTGTTGTGCAAGTAACAGTAAAGTGCCACAATTGTCCTAGGATGTATTAGAGTCCTTCAAGGTTCTAGAGCCAAGCTGTTGATAATCCATCACAAGAAAATATATTGTGGAAATCATGTCATGCACCAAGATCTCAAAGCTGTGGCAAATGCCTGTGGGAACCATGCCCTCAAAATCAAGCTTTTTGGGAAGTGAAAGACAAGGATGAAATAATTTGCCTTTGACGCTCAACCTGAAACCAAAGCTCCCACGCCTGTTGAAGACAATTGTTTTAATTGTCCCATTCACAAAGCTCTAGGTCAAAGCCTTTTTGATCCTCACTTGTCAAGCTCATTCTAAGTAACATTCCTCTATAAGCAGAAAATATGACAATCAAAGGAGTAAAATAAAAATGATTCCTTAGGTTAAATAGATGAGTTTTTTTTTTGGAACCTTTGTTACTTAGCTGTAGAAGTTCCTTAGCTAAAGAATAGACTCTGTTGATTTTAAGAAAATAAAATTGAAAAGGAAAGGGCTTTTGAACCAAAATTATCACCCCCTTACTCTTGTCTTTCTTTTCTTCAAATTCTATAGCTCATGTGGGTGTTTTTATATTGTGGGAGATACTCATGCAACTTTTGACTCTCTTCTTCATAAGAAACACATGCTAATCCATGTTATAATTTGTGATGTATGAGGTGAGGAATTTGACAATAGATGTTTACTTTGAGTTTATAAAAGTTTATAAATTACAAACATCTTTATAATTTAATAATTTTATAATAGAAATAAGAATGCCTAGTAGTATACTAGAACTAAAAAAGAACTAATTAACATCCCAACTGTAAAATGTAAAGATGTGAAAATGTAACTACAATGTTTTGGTGAATTTATTGCCATAAAATAATACATTCTCTTTCATTTTTACAAACCAGTGCTGGTACTAATTTTATTTGAATTAGTTTAATAAGTAGTTCCCTTGATCCATACAAGTGAAATTTATATTTTTCCTTGTTGCTGTGGCTTTCACAACAGCGACTGTGGCACAAAAATATTTGGATAGAAGGTTATATGCTCCATCTGGATATATAATAGTCAACTCATTGGCTAAAGATATATCTTTAGCCAAGTCCTTTTGTCTATAATAAAAGTTAATAATTTATAAAAACAAAATAAGAAAAATGATAACTTACAATGAATGATGAGAATAACGAGTTAAGTAATCATCAATTTCTACAAAATTTGCCACTATAAAAACAAAATAAAATTATAATTCAAACAAACAGAACTCACTTGGAAAAGACGATCTGTATGGTAGAGAAAACACCACAAGTAACCCTGATGCTACTTTTCATGCATCATGTACACAATTTGCATCTAAAAGATTCAAAGACTGAAGCTTTGTTAAAGTTCCCTGCAAAATTTAACCGATCACCAAACAATCAAAAACAACTAACAGCCTACCATAACATCAGCGCTAAAAGCTGGATCTTTTTGAAGTTTTTGAAGCTCCGACGACAGCCTTCTTAAGCTAACGAGATAACGCTCTAAAGAGAAGAAGACAGGAAAAAAGAATAAAAACCATGAGAAACAACTCACCTAGAAACATGCAAATGGATGCATGGGTAGCCCAAAGAATTAAGTCATTCGCAGACATTGGAAGTTAACACTTTATCTCCACATCGAACACTTTGCACCTTGGGTGCCACCTTATTTTCCTTGTTTACGTGAACACAAGGAAAAGTTATCAAAAGCATAACACTTACCAAGTCCACATTTGCAGTTACAACAGCTTGGATAAAGCTTTGAACAACTTGGTTAGAGCTTGGAACAGCTTGGTTAGAGCTTGGAACAGTTTGGTGGATGGTGTCGCTGGAACCAATCTGTAAGTGAGTCAAATTAGCCATTGCTAGAAAACAGTGAAGGTCGCCATACCTGGGAATGGGCATCACTAGGTTCTGCCTTGAGCAGCACTATCTCCAATGTGCCACCAAAGTCTCTTATATCGCATTCGGCAGCATCCTTGGCGACCATCCCCTGGACACCAAGCGTGTCCCAGAGATCATCGTCAAAGATTGTGTTAGCAGAGACTTTGAGGAAAAGCCTGCCGCTCATCAAGTCGCGTAGAGTATCTTGGAGAAAGAAGAGCCCTTCCTGTTGGTGCCAACGCCACGTACCATCGGCATGCCCCGGTAGTCCTCGTAGCTGACAATCCACTCAAGCGCGTTGTACTTGAATGCCTTCGTTGGCGCCGCGAGAAGGATGTTGCCAGTTGAAACCCGGTTCCGCCAGATCTTAGCATACTCATATTTCTCATAAATTCTTTGGGAAACCTCGTCTTGCACGCGTTTGTCAATTTGCATGCCGCTTTTTGGCGAATAAAGTTTATTCGTGGCATAAAATCAATATGAGCTTCCCTTTTCGGCGAAATACTCACAGCACTCATTCACATTCATGTTATTTTACTCGATCAAGGTGATGTACCTGTCTTGTTACACTTGAAATCTATGTAGTCTACGAAAAAAAATAGCATCCTCAGGAGAATAAATCCTGAGCATGTCTGTAAAAAGCTTGAGCTTCGTGCCTACAATCTTAATGAAAAGCTGTACCGCTTCCTGGAAAGGTATAAGTGTGCTTATCCAAACTGCAGCATGCCCTTCCTGACTCCACAATGAAGTATGGAGTAATTCCTTCTTGGATGCTTGAGCGTTGGCACTTTGCGCATTCACCAACAAAATTTGCAACATCCCTTCACAGTTGCGGCCTCGAAAACCTGGTCTCTCCTTCCGCCCAAGTTCCAAAATGGTTAGACACGTAGATCCTCGTCTCCTTGGGATTGAAGAATCTTGAGCGTGGGATTTCTTCATTTCAGCTCCGCGTCAATAGCGTGCAACTCGAAAGGTGATAGAAAGATCTCCCTCTTCCTAATGCCTCAACCTGGCATTGCACCTGAGTCCCTTTTGAGTTGGCCCCTGTTCCTGGAACTCAATCCCCATTTTTCATCAATGCTTCGAATCATTCGTGCCCGCAGCAGGATCGTCCACTCAGATCTACTCGGGATGAAGGGCATGTCAGCAATGAGATTGGCCGCATCTTCCAAGTAGCCGCCACGAGCAAGAAGATCAACGAGGCAGCCATAGTGGCTCTTGGTTGGAGAAATACCAAAGTCTAGTATCATGGAGACAAAAACCGATTTCCCGCAAGAAAGTTTCCCTGCAAAGGTGCTCGCCACAAGGAGAGAGACAAAGCACGACTCATCCGGGGTGATATCGTCCATGACCATCGCCGAGAACATAGCAAATGCCTCATCTGGATGCCCAAACTGAGCAAATGCTGTTATTCCAATTGTCCACGACACGTGATTTCTCTCCGGAATATGATTGAGAAAACGGCTTGAACACACAAGCTTGGCATTCCGTGCGTACGATGAAAGCATTCCATTCCATGTATCGAGGTTTTGTTCTGGAATGTGCCTGAAAATCTGCTGGGCAATTTCCAGATTCCGGGCTTCGGCATATGCCGTAAGAAGCGTAATACAAGAGGCAGCGTTGTATTCCGGCATCTCGTCAAAGATGCGTTGGCACTCTAAAATGTCGTAACGATGAGCGGCCAGGATCGCGTTCCAGACCAGAAGATCTCTATCCTTAAGATTCTGGAAAAGAATTCTAGCATTTTCAAGTTGCCCGTTTTGGGCATAGGCAGTGAGCATGGCAGTTGATGCCGCGAGGTCTATTTCCGGCATATTCTCGAGAATCTTCTCTGCCACGTGGACATGGCCGCTCTGTGCATTCGCCGCAAGCAATGTGGTGTAGCAGGCAAGGCTCTTGAGAGGAATGGCGGAGAAGATTCGAGACGCCTCGGAAAGATTCCCTCTAAGAACACACGCTTTGAGCATCGCGTTCCAGGAGGCGAGATCGTGGGCGGGCATTCGATGGAAGAAAAACTCCCGAATCTCCGCGATTGTGAAGGAATCGAGCACCGCGAGCACCGAGAGCATGATGTTCCAGGAGGAGAGATCGCGCTCGGGCATTCGATCGAAGATCTGGCGGGCGAAATGGGGCTGGGCGCTGCGCAGGCACGCAGTGATGAGCGCGTTCCAGCACACGATCGAGGGCTCCTGTGGGATGCGATCGAAGCAGCGGAATGCCGCTGTGAGGGCGCCGCGATTGGCGTGGGAAGTGAGGAGGATCGTCCAGGAGATGAGGTTGTGCTGCGGCATTTGATCGAAGAGGAGCTCGGGATCATCCCCATCTCCTCCAAAATTCCGAGAGTTGGCATGTGCCGAGAGGAGAGAGTTCCAAGAAACTATGTCCCTCTGTGGCATTCGATCGAAAACCTCTCTCGCTTTGGCGAGATCTTCCTCCCGGGCATAGATCGAGAGAAGTGAGTTCCAGAGATAGAGACCCTCCATCGGAACTCGATCCAGCAAGCGCTGGATCGCGTCGAAATGCCGCAACTGTGCATAGAGATTGATCATCACTGTCATGGACACGAGATCCCACTCCGGCATGCCGCGATGGAAAAATTCCCCTGCTTGGATCGATCGCGAAGCTCGCGCATAGCCATCCAGCATCGCGCCCCACGACGCGAGATCCCGGACGGGCATTGAATCGAAGAGCTCCTCCGCCGCGAGGATCTCCCCTGCGCGCGCGAGCGCCGCGATCATCGCATTCGTGGACGCGAGGTCGTGGAGCGGCATCCGATCGAAGAGCGCCGAGGCGTGGTCGAGCAGGCCACGCCGCGCGTACGCCGCCATCGTTGTCGTCCACGACACGATATCCCGCTGCGGCATTTCCCGGAAGATCTTTGCCGTGGCTCCCAGATCGCCGGAGCGAGCGTGGGCGCCGAGGATCGCATTCCAGGCCACTAGATCGCGCTCCGCCATGGAATCGAAGAGCTTGGTCGCGTCCTCCACTCGCCCATCTCGCGCGAGCGCGGCGATGGCCTTGGTCAATGCGATCATGGGCGACGGAATATCCCACCAGAGAACGGAATATCCCAGCCTTACGCCCGTCACGATCACATGGTATTTAAGGGACGGAGAAACGATGAGAGAGACGAGGAAAGAAGACAAGGACGGAGAAAGAGTCGATTAGGGCAATCCGGGAAATGGCGATGGCGAGGTGAGCTCGCGGCGGGGCAAGGCGCTGGCGCCTTGGCGAGTTTTCTAGACAAGAAATTCTTGGGGTTTTAGGGTCGCCGGATCGATCGATTCCAGCGGTGGAGTAGACGCTAGGTCTCAAATTCTGGCACGGCTCCTGGCTGTGTCTAGCTTGAGTGCGCGCAAGGGTTTCGGTGGTGGCCACAGCTTTTTGCTCGGGCTAGCTTGCGAAGCGGGACTTTTTTCGAGCTGGGCTGTGAATACAAGCGAGGGACAGGATAGAGGAATTTGGTGAGGAGCGCGCGTAGAAAAAATCATTCATTGGGGAATTTGCTGGGTGGGATTGATATAGCGAGGCCTCTTTTTTTGGTTCTTAGTGTGAATTATGGACGCATAGCGGCAATCCAAGTGGGTTATGCAAGAAGAGGAGATTTTCGAGGGGATGAGAAACGATGCCAGCTCGAGAAGCCCCCGCTTTGGGGTAGCACGGAATGGTAGCAGCAAATTCACCTGGAGAGCGATCTCCAGCTACCTGCGTAGCGTTTCTGCTGGGAATATCGCTGCTACTGTACGCACCGCGAGCTCTTCGGTAACTTCTACAGCCTCTCACGAGGAGGACAAGCACCGAGAACAGGTACTTTGATTTTTCTCTTTGATCTTGCGATTTTATTTTTTGCTTTTGTTCCAAAGTGAATTGTTTCTCTGGTCTTATGCTTTGTTTGGGGCTCGTGAAAAGATCATATCTTCTCAAGGGGATTGCCTTTGACACGTGGGTTTACGCTTGCATTTACGTCCTTGTTTTCTTGTTCTTGCAGATAGAGTTTGCTGTCATGCTCTTCTTTTTCCTGCGTTATTTTACTTACGTTTCTTTGGAATCTTGCCGCAGGTGCAATGGGCCTCGCTGGACACTCTGGAAGTTGGCCCCGGCCTGTTTCGTCATGTGTTGTTACTCACGTATCTCCACGGTTTTCAAGTCTGGGACCTGGAAGATGCCGGCAGCGTAAGAGACATCGTATCAAAACGCGATGGACGTGCTGCATTCCTGCGGCTCAAGCCATTAACCGAAAGTCAAGCTGGAGAACTCAAGGATGTGGAGCCTCTACTGCTGGTTGTTACGGGGGACTACGCTAGGGGGAACTCTGGCGGCAACGGAACAGTGAGGGCCGTGCACCCGCATTTCGTTCCAACCGTAGTTCGCTTCTATTCTTTGAGGACGCACAACTACGTCAAGGAGCTGCGCTTCCGGACTGGTATTTATGCTGTTCGGTGCAGCCGACGCCTGATTGCCGTTGCTCTCGCCAACCAGGTACGCAACCTGGCTTTGTTAGCTTTCCTTTTCTCTTACAGTGCCGTGCTTTTACTTTGTCTTCCAGATCTATGGCTACGACGCCGACACCCTTCAGACTATTGTCAGTGTGTTGACTTATAGTATGCCTAGTACTGGGCTGGGAGCAGCCAACGCTGGATATGGAGCCTTGGCGCTCGGTCCCAGGTGGATGGCTTACCCAGCCAACCAACCGTTTATGTCCTCCGTTGGTCGCGTTTCCCCGCAGCACCTGATATCCCCGGGGATCAGCCCGTCTACGTCACCTGCGAGTGGTGGCCTGGTTGCTCACTATGCTATGGAGTCGAGCAAGCAGTTGGCAGCGGGGATCATGACACTTGGTGATATGGGATACAAGACTTTGTCCAAGTACTGCTCCGACTTGTTGCCGGAGGGTGCAAGTAATGGAGCTAGTACTGAAACCGAGTACGCGGGAACTGTAAGTTATATTCTTCTCTGTTTCTGCCTTTCCTCTTTCCTTGGGCTGATGGTTAAAAGTTTTTAACAGGTGATTGTGCGGGATTACGTAGAGAACAAAATCATCGCGCAATTCCGTGCGCATTCCAGCCCGATATCTGCACTTTGTTTCGATCCGAGTGGAACGCTTCTCGTTACGGCGTCCGTGTACGGCCACAACCTGAATGTGTTCCGCCTGACTCCGACAGCAGATGCAAAGGCCTCGCACGTGCACCTTTACAAGCTCTGTAGAGGCGTTACAAATGCGGTAAGGTTCTACCTTTACTGAAACGAAGCATTTTTCTTACGAGCGGCATCTCAGGTTATCCAAGACATCAGTTTCAGCCACGACAGTCATTGGATTTCGGTAAGCACTTCCAGGGGCACTAGTCATCTGTTCGCTATTTCACCCTTCGGTGGAGGTGTCGGGCCTCAGACCCATGGCGCCTGCTCGGTGGATCCTTTCACCGGGCCCATGGTGGTTCCTACACCGGCCTATCCTTGGTGGACTAGCAACGGCCCGCTTCGTGCTTCTCAACAGGCTCTACCGCCGCCGCCGCCCGCAATCACTCTATCCGTGGTAAGCAGGATAAAGAATGGACTGGGGTGGCGAGGGACCGGACGGCCTAATGGCTCCAGTGCAAGTAGCGGGGCTGTGGCAGCCGGGTTTCACGACGGTGACTGTGGAAGCTCGGAAGGCGGGAACTGTAGCCTGAGGGATAAACTGTGGGTGCTTTGTCCGTCCGGCTACCTTACGAAATACTTGCTGAGACCATGCACAGGGGGGGAGGGAGGATACAGTACAGAAGGATCGAGCAGTCCGGGGCAGTCTCAGGATTTGAGGCTAATCGTGGAGCCGTCTGAGAAGTGGGATATCTGTCGGCGAAAAGATTGGCTCGAGCGCGAGGCCAGCTACCCGGACGAGCAGTCTCTGAAAACTGAGATGAAAGTGGAGGAGCTGCAACGCTGGTACATGTCCAACGCCGAAGTACAGATTAGCCAAGCACGGCCGCTCCCGATTTGGGCCAAGCCTAATGTAAACTGTCGTTACAAGCAACTTTCTCGTGTTTTCGTTTTCTCCAGCTTACTAACGGTTTGGCTTTTCAGGTGTACTTCCATGCACTACTGGTGAAGGACAATCAAGAGCTCGAAATAGAAAAGATGCCGCACCAGGTGATTGAGATCCGAAGAAAGGACTTGAAACCTCTGGTGGACAGGCTCCAGCAAAGGTATTTTTTTACTTTCTGGAGAATGGCTAACTTTTCCTTCGTGCTCACAGAGACGGAATTGCGGTCCCGAAATACCGCTTGCATAACAACTTGGAGACGCAAATCCAGCGATCAAGTAGTGGAAGTAGCTTTGGATCCGAAGGCCCTTTAGTTGACTCGTCCTGTGGATCTAATGGCTTCCACCATAACTATCAAGGTTTGTGTCGAGTTTCTTGGTATTTTTTGCCGTAGCAAGCCTTTTGATGTTTGCTTGCACCGCAGGATCTGATGTGTATATTACGGCGGCATCTCCAGGAGGGATGCTGCAGAACGATTTATTCAGTGCGAGCTGCTTGCATGGTAATCACGTCTTAGCTGCGGTTCCAAACCCGACAACAGGTCAGTCATCTCAAGTTTGTCACTGAGCGACAACTTTGGAGAGTTTTGTTCCAGCTCCGGCCGAGGAAGCGATTGCTGCAGCGTCGATGGCCAATGAGTTGCAGGATCCCGGCCCAGCTCTGGAACCCGAGCCTGCTGCGGCGGTGGACTGTGAAGCAGGGAATGCCGAGAACGAGGCGCAGCAGAGTCACGGCGCAGAGAGCTGGGAAGGAGCAATGTTTCCCTTCTGTGAAGAAGGTACTCAAACTTAGTTTTTCTTTCGTTTTCTCTAGCGTTTGCTGATAATCTCTTGTTTCCAGACTAGTCTTACGTCGTTGGAGTGGAAGGAATAATGGAAGAAGATGATGGAAGTATTCTAGCAGTCTTGTTTTGTGGAGTGCGATGGACGCTATGGGGCCGACGATGTAAGCCAAAGTTTTTGAGCGTGCTTACTTTGACTGCAGATTTAACACCCAAGTTCCAGGCTGAGAAAAAGAACAAAAAAATTCGAAAACAGAGAAAAAAACCAACGAAATTACCATTGGATTCCAACGAAGAAAAACGAGCAAAAAAAAAAAAAAAAAAAAAGAATAAACCGGCTGGGAATGCTTGTATGTAGTTACCTCCAAGCCCTCTTGATTTTTTACAGCGTTGTAAATACTCTTGTACAGAGATAAAGAAAAGAAGTTTTTACCTTTTTACCACTGTTTTTGTGCCATTTGTACCTTATCCCCCACCAAAACCCTCCATTTTTTTGGCTATCTAGGGTTCTTCGTTGGAGCGCTCGGCGGTTCTTCTTCGCGAGGTAATGTAGAAGCGAATGCGCTGCGCGATTCGATATTGGCGCTCAATCTGAGCTGCGCTGCTGCATTCTTCGATGTTTCTCCACTGAGAATTTCGTGCCTACAGTGCTGTTGGAGCCATGGCGAAGACGGAGGAGACGACGAAGGCCGAGACAGCCGCGGTGGAGAAGAAGAACGAGCCGGAGATGATGCGCTACGAGGACTATCGCGGCAATGTGCAAGTGTTTCCCAAGCCTCCGGAGCCAAACATTGTGGATTTAATCGACCAGGAGACGTGGGGGACGGACGAGGAGGAAATTCTTCCCGAGGAAGAGGAGGAGTCGGAGGAGGAAGTGGAATTTCGATTCGTTCCTCCGCCTAGGCGTCGAGCCCCGCAGCTGGAAGAGCCAAAGGAGCCTGACGAGGATTCGGAAAAAAAGAAGCTGAGAGAGCAGGAGATTATGGAGCTGTCACGGGAACAAGATCGTCGTATTGCCGAGGAACGCCAGCGGAAAAAGCTCGAGAGAGTGAAGAAGAAGGAGGAGATTATCAAGGACAGGCTCAAGAACGAGTATGAGGCGACATGGAACTTCCCGGTGGATTTGGAAGGGTGGACGGAAGAGGACCTTGGAGAAGAATGGGTGGATCCTCCTCTCGATGCCACTGGCAGTGGATATGATCCAATGTTTGCGCCACCTCCTCCCGACGAAGATCTGGACAAAGTTATCGCTCAGCAAACGAAGAGAAGCCGCAAGCAGAAGAAGGAGTTTAAGAAGTATATGGACAAGCTCAG